CCCCCCCAAGTCTTCAGCCTATGTTCCTGCTCACACTAGATGGTAATAGTTTGTGTCTTCCTCCAGAAAAGAGGATTCTCAGAGATCCCCACCACAAAGAGGGGTAGTGAGATGGCTGGGGATAGAGGGGCCTTCATTGCTGGACACAGCACTACCCTGCCAAGTCGGCCTCATGGCATGCCCTCCACTTCACTTCACCCCTTGCCCACCAGGACCGCCGTACCTGCTTACTGCAAGGCCCCTTCCTCTGCATCTGTGTCCTGGCTGTGCTCCTGATAGGGAGGAGGCAACAAGAGACCACATATCACTCACTGCAAACTCTGAGTCCTGCCCTGAGGCCCAGAGCACATCTAGAGGCCACACTCAGAGAGGGACAGCCAAAGGAAATGACTATGGAACCAGTCTGAACAAGGCTGATTTGGGATCGCATCAGGGTCGACTGAGGGCCCCTCAGGAGAGAGAAGGGACCAGTCAAGGAAGTTCTATGTGTGACAGGGGGCACGTTTCTGCATAGAAAGACCTTCTCAGATTGGAGCAGGCTAATAGCCTACAATACTGGTGAGCCCCCCATCTTTGGGACACCTAAGCCTTTGTCACAGCCTTTATGAAGACTACTAGTACTATGCCCAAAAGAGTAAGCTGGAGTACCAGACTAGGTACAAAGAAGAAGAAATGAGCTGGACATGAGAAGGACCTCTTAAGCCCATCTGTCCTCACATCAGAGCCCAGCAGGGATGAAAAGAGAAAGTTCCAGACCTAGTGAAGAAGTCTGGGCTCCAATCCTGGCTTGACCCTTATTAGCTATAAGGCCCTGAGCAAGCTACTCGACTCCTCTGAGCCTCAGTTTCCTCACAGGGTAAGATGTGGGAAGAGTAATACTTTGCACAATGCAGGGCTATTATTAAGGTTAAATGAAGTTAGAAAGTGTGGACCAATGGGCCTGGTGCTCAACTGAGCGTTCCTTAGGTAAACAAGTAGTAAGCACACAACAAAGACCTTACTGGCTCAGAATCTGGTTTGCCTTCCACTTCATGTAAGCTCCTTGCCAAGTGGCTTCCACCATCACAGATGGGGAACTCCCTTGATCCCTCATTAGACGGCCTATTATTTCATGCTCAGGCAACAATGGCTTTTAGAAAATCATCAGGTAGAATGGATACCTACTTCCCTGTGGCTTCCCCAGGAAACCCCAGTCCTGCCCCCTGCAACTCTGCACACCGTCTGTGCTCCCTGAGCTCCTGACTCTTCTGTCCCCATGTGGAAAACCGGGTCTCGAATGGGCCCTGGGCTCAAGAGAGGTCTGCCTCAGACCTCTGTGGGACTTCTGACTGGTGGCTGACATAGGCAACTACTTGCTGCTCATTCCCCACTTTCCTCACGGGACTGGAGCCCCTGGAAAAAGGAACCAGCTCAGAGGTTCCCCTTCCCCTGCGGCGACTACGAGTATGAATAGCCCAGTCTCAGCCCTTCCAACCATGCCCTCACCAGCTCTTCCTCGCTGTGTGTCAGCAGCCCCTCTTCATCGCCGTCATCTCGAACCTGTGCTTCTCCCTGGGGTGTGCCTGCCTCAGAAGTTGTGTCCTCTTGCGGGGCCAGTGGCCGGCTGCTGCCACCACTATTGCCGCTGCCGCTGCCGCTGTCGCCTTTCTTCTTGCCATCTTGAGGGAAAAGGGTGGTGAAAAGGGGAATAAAACTCAGCCTGGGACAGCTTCCTGGGCAACACTTCAGCAGAAGCGAGGCCTCAACACAGTGGGTCCAGGTGGGATTAGAGGCCATAGTCCCTCTCTGTACCATGCACTGTCCTCCCCCCACCCTTTGCCTTGGGCCCCTGGACACTCAAACCAGGGCAAGGACCCTTGGAAGCTGACCTGGGTTGGCCTTCTGCTCCTCAGCAATCTGTTCCAAGCGGCCCAGCAGGGCGTCAATGTTGGACTTGATCTGTGTCAGCTCTGTCTTGATGGCCTGCAGCTCACTGCTCTTTACTGGGAGTGGAGGGAGTACAGGGCTGTCACCTGGGGACTGGGAGCTCGATACTAACACAAGACCCTAGCCCCATTCTGTCAATTAGAAAGACAGGCCAATGGCAGGAACTGTCCTTGTCCGCAGCTCTTTCTCTGGCCAGGGAAAAGGCTGAAGCTGCCTGTGGCTTCCCTTGACTTTCTGAAAGCCATTCTTCGAGTGACCAGACTGTCCTTCTGAACCTGTATCTTTCCCCCCACCCAACCTCTCAATTCTGAAAGGGACTGGGGCTGGATAGGAAGAAGGTGTTCCTGAACAAGCATGTGTCTTTGCTGGTGATACAGAGTGGTTTCTGCCTTTCGAGGTGTGTAAATGTGGGTGTTTTACAATCAGATTTCCTGGGTGCCTGACCACAGCGTTTGCACACGAGAGTGAAATGTGAGTAGTGGGCCTGTGTAGACCTGTCCTGTCCTTACTAGAGGAAAGATGACCCCATCTCCTCACTGGGCTCCATGTCACAGCACTGGACTCTGTGCCCAACCCAAGCCCCTCCGCCTGAAACGTCAGCCTTTTTCTCTAAGAAATACATGGAAATACTCACTTGGTTGTTAGAGCTGCAGAACTGTGGGAGATTTGTTCTTTTATCTATTTTCCAATGTAAAAAAATGTAATTCTATTATTTTGCTAATGACAAAAAAAAGTTATTTAGGAAGAAAATAAGTCACTTACACTTAATTTTGACTGAGCTGGTGGTGATGGCTGTGGAGCGGGCAAAGAGCTTGACTGGAATGGTGGTTTTGACACGTCGGACCAAAGGGACTGTGACCCGGGGTCGCTTCACAGGGACAGCCCTGGGCACAGGCACCGGTGAAAGGCGGCCCCGATAGTCGAAGAGCCTGTGAGGGCAAATGGGCCAGAGGCTGCAGCATGGCCTGTGGCCACCAAGGGTCACTGTAACTTTAGACTAAAATGTGTATGGTTGGTGAAGGGCTGGCCTGCAAAAAACACCTCTGCTTGCTCCCAACAAGCCCTGGGGTGAACAGAAAGGGTGTTCAGAACCCTAAGAGCTGCTGGGATCCTCACTACATTCACTTTTCCTACCAACCAGCTGCTTAAAGGCAGGTGAAGTGGCAGGTGATAATAGTTACAGCCCCATTCAACAGAGGAGTAAACTGAGACCAGCCCCAGAAAGGAGCCTTCCCTAGATAGAGCCACCCTGACACCCAGGCCTGCTCTATTTCTGACCTAGATTCTGCTCAATCAACTGCCACCTCAATCCCTGGTCAGAGTTTGTAAATTTCGCCAAAGCAGCACAAACCTGCAGCTGCGAACAGAGAGCTGTGGGACCGGAGGGCAATCCCTAAGCCTGCCTGAGCCTCAGTTTCCCATCTGCCTAATGAGGATGGCTATCCCAAATTCTGTGCCCCTGGGCCCCCCCAAAACTGCTGTGAGGTAAAGCACAAGAGAATGTGGTTAAAAACCCATGATAGAAGGTGTGACTGATGAATGGCCAGGGTACTAAGAGAAGCATGAGGTCCTTTCCTCATTCTGGACGCCCTCAGTCACTCCCTCCGTCTTAATCCACTTCAGAGATGGAGGGCGGGAGACCCAGCAGAGTGTCAAGGTTGGGCAACTCCCTCAGATCCCCAGGTGCCCAGACTATTGCTGCCGCCCCGGCCCCCACCAACACCATTATCCAGCCCTCCCAGGAAGGCCTTTTTTCCTGTCATGCAGCTCAGTAGGCTGAGTAGGGGTCTCTGCCACCACATCTGCTGCTACCACCTTTCTGCAGGGAACGGCAGCCTCGGGGGTACACTGTAGGATCACTTCCCTGATGACAACCAGGAAACCTGACATCGATGGGCAATTCAATGCCCCATGCCGTGGCACTCCTTTGTTCAGGGAGCCCCTGCCCTGGGTTGGTGATGACTGGAGATGGAAAGAATCTGGGAATGGATCCAGTCACGGACACTGCATTTCTGCCCCAAAGGGGAGGAGGCGGCTCTGGCCTTGGTCAGAATCACTGAACCACAGAATCCCAGAGCAGGAGGAGCCCTGAGGGATCATTTGGTGCAAGCCTATTTCACAGACTGGGAGGGAATTTACCCAAAGTCACACAATCCATTCAGTGGCAGAGCTGAGATTAGCACCCAGGTAGTCTGACTCCCAGGCTAGGGCACTTTCAACTACAGTGGGGCCTTGACTTACGAGTTTAATTCGTTCCGTGATGGAGCTCGTAACTCAAATTACTCGTATGTCAAATCATAAAGTGAACGAGTGAGACATGTGATGCTGGGCTGATGTTGTGGCGTTCACTGTGACGTTCGCTGCGCCAACTAGCGGTGGGGTATCTGAAGCTGGCTCGTAACCCGAATTTGAGCTCTCAACTCAAAGCAAAAAATCAGCCAAGAGACAGCTCGTATCTCGAAAAACTCGTTAGTCGGGACACTCGTAAGTTAAGGCCCCACTGTACACTGCACTGTCTCCTGAAGCAATTCACAGGTGAGAAAACCAAGGCTCAGAAAGGTTCTATTCTTCTTGGACAGCCTGGGGCAGCCTGGGACAGCCAGCCAGGCCAAGAGGGAGGGAGGAAAAGATAGAGGGAGAGAAGCAGGGGGGAGTTTGGGCCAGCTCCCACCATGATTTCCACTCAAGAATGTGGATGGGGCCATGGAGTGGAGGCCACAGCCTCAAGTCTGGGGTCTGGGTAGGCTGGGAAGTGGAGGGTGGGCCACAGCCTACCAGGGACCAATTCACACCTCTAACAGGGCCGCTAACTCTTGGCTATAAAAATAAGGCCCAGCAGCTCAGACTGAGCTCTGAGGTCCCTTCCTGCTGGCTGGGTAACTTAGATGGAACAGCAGAAGCATAAGAGCCCAAACTCCCTGCACTGGGCCCTGTACCGTTTTGAACTCCAACTTGCTGCATTTATGTGTCCCTTGGCTGTCCAGTCCCACTGAGCCCCACCCCAAATTTAGGAGGAAGACAGGCAGTCAGAGAGTGGGAGACAGTGTGGGGTGGGGGAGCTCTAGCCTGGGCACCTGCAAACCTAACTCTAGTCCCCGCTCTGCCACCAACTTGTGGAGCAGCCTTGGGCAAATGCCTGTCCACACCTCTGGGCTTAGGTCCCACTTTGATGGCTGAATGGGCTGCACCAGCAATCTCTCAGGACCCTTCCAGCTTGGCTGTTTCATGCCTGGGCACGCCCCTTCCCTGCTCACCTGTCGTAGAAGTCGTCCCGGTAGTAATCATAGTCAAAGCTGTAGCCACTGGGGAAACAAAGGGGAGAGGGCCGGGGCTTAGGGACAGCCACTCAGTCCACTCTTCACAGGCCCTCATCTCCAAACACCCTCCCAAATTCTAGGCTCAGCACAGTAATCACCAGTGCTCACTCCCTCTGTGGGAGAGGGACCAATCCCACCTGCACAGAGACAGACAAGGCAGAGCGCCCCACCTGTAAATGGCAGATGCTGCTCTCTTTAACCCCTTGGGTCTGTTGGGCTTGGGCTCACCAGCCATGTTGATGTCTGTGTGAAGGGAAAAGGCAGAGTCAGATGCTGGCAGGACAGCAGGTGCCCATACACATATCACCCTCATGCAAGTGTGCAGCAGTTTATGTGTACATATGATGTCCCCACGGACTGAGTCCCTAACACAGCCAACACATGTCCTCACACATTAGACTCACCCACACAACACATGGAAACACCTCTTTACATATTCATATACATTCAGACACATGCATGCAAGCTCATAAACATATCACTCACACATACTTCATGTACATCACACACATATGTATTCTCAAGTACACTCATGCAAACACAAATATAGATAACACCCTCACATACACAGGTAATAAGGTCACACACACACACACACTATATATATATATCATATACATATACATATATACACACTCTCTCAAGTACATTCAGACTTGGTTCCAATATCATATACATAGCTGCCTATATACAAAAGATCTAATGCGCATTCATACAAAATTCTAACAAACATACTTATGCCTAGAGCAGTGCTTAGCACGTGATGGGACCTCAACAAATATTTGGTAAATGAATATATGCATATCTGCTTACACACTCATATATATTCTGACACATACTACATACATACCCACTATAAGGTATATGTCCATGTATTCAGTTATATCCACATACCACATACTCAGGAATACATATACAAATATCCCTTCTCAAACATACAATACACACTCCACAGCAGACCACCAGCATGGCCACATCACATGTATATAACACCAAGGCCAAGGGTACCTCTTGCTTCAACTGTGCTCCTAGCACCTCCTCCTGGCTCCCAGAAAGCATTCTAACCTAAGCAATCTGTAGCCTAATGCATTGATTTGTAACTACTTAATTTACAACTATTGTTATAACATCTCTGACAGGGATAGTGGGTAGAAGTAGGGGTAAAATAAAAGGGATTAAAAGGGAAGCTGGAGAGTGAAGGCCAGCACCTACTCAGAATACTGGGAGCTTACCCAGGGTCTGCCCTGCCAGCACCCGCCCATTCTCTCCAAGCACAGCTGCTCGGGCATGGCGCTCGTTGGCATACTGGACAAAGGCATAGCCCTTGTGCACAGAACAGCCGGCCACACGGCCATACTTGGAGAAGATGGTCTCCACATCTGACTTCTTCACCACAGCTGTGTTGAGGTTTCCGATGAAGACCCGAGAGTTGATGGACTTGGGGTCATTCTTGTTGGTTACGTTGCTTGTCTGGATCTTCAAGGACATGGTGGGCACCTGAAGAGAGAGCCACTGTGAGGCTGGGTCCACGGGTTGGGCTCAAGGGCTGCCCATGGCCCACATCGTAGCTAAGTGAATTTTTTATGCCTTCCTCTACCCCCCACCCCACAGCATCCAGCTCCCCATTTTTGCTCATCTAATTGGCTGATGAGCTTTTGCCAGGTGCTTTACATATGTTCTCTCATTTGGTACGGACAAGCAGAACCAGGATATTTTACAAAGGAAAGAACACACATTCAGAGGTCACAATGCTAGTGAATGGCAAGGCTGGGATCTGAACCCTAGTCTGCTTGATTCTAATTCTTTTAAACCCACTCCATCTTTTTTTTTAACTTTAAATTATCCTCTTTATTAAGAAAATAGATGACATGGTAAAAAAAACTCAGACATTCAAAAATGTTAGAGCCAAGTTTTATGCTCCTAATATTGAACTTTTTTAAAAGTCATTTTCCAAAGCAAATTCATAAGCTATAAAGGTGACCGTAATTCCTATTTGCAAACAATGCATAAAACATAAAGTAACAGGCACAGTATTCACATTTAAAAAATGCAATTTGGAATGTAAAACCAACTCCATCTTTAATGCTCATCTCAAAGGCTACCACCCCACACAGGATCTAAATTTGGAGACCTTCCACAGCTTCTGTTCCTTCAATGTAAAACCATGGCCAAAAGGTCACATGGTAATTACAAGTAATGTCTGCTCCAGAACAATACCATTTTATGAGTATCGCTCAGTCTGATCCAGACGTGGACCTAGCTATTGCTGTCCTTACTGGTACCTGCCATTTTGAAAATAAGTCTCACTCAACACTCAGTGTGGGCTCAGTCTTCTGCTCATTGGTGCAACTCCCTTTGGAGAATGCCTAACCCAAGACCCCGTGAGTAATACTAATATTTTATCAGAAACAGACTTCAATAACTTCATTAACTTGCCAAGAATGGTCATTCAAACCCATGTCAGTTAGTCCCTAAAAAGCCCATTTCTTTCAACTTTATCACAGTCCGTCCCAGAGCTCAAGCCCATGTAAACACTACAATTAAGTCAGCATATTTATCTGAGAATTGTTTTTAAATAAATTTTTTAGAGTTAACTATTTTTTTAAGTTTTTTTAAAAAATATATTTCTTTATTGATTTCAGAGAGGAGGGGAGAAGGAGAGAGAGACAGAAACATCAATGATGAGAGAGAATCATCGATTGGCTGCCTCCTGCACACCCCCCACCGGGGAACAAGCCCGCAACCCAGGCATGTGCCCTCAGCCTGGGACCCTCCAGTCCGCAGGCCGACGCTCTATCCACTGAGCCAAGCCGGCCAGGGCAAGAGTTAACTATTTTTATACTTACTCATTCAAATTTAGTTCTCTTTGCTAGAGATGATGCCGTACCTACTCCTTGCTCTCTACACTCTGGCAATGTCTTTTTCCCCAAAGGGCTGTATAAATATCTCTGCTACCCCCTCCATAGATAGGTTACAGCTGGGCACAAGCTACAGAGTAAAAGGGAAAAGGAAGCTCAATTTCAGTAGGAAAGGACTAATGTTAAGCCTTGGCATTTATACTTCTTGGCTCAGTCTTCTGCTCATTGGCATAGGTTGGTGTAACTCCCTTTTAGAGCATGCCTATCTCAGTACCCCATCCTAGAGTTATTTCAGAAGGTGCTAAAAAGAAAAAAAGGTGCTAAAGACCCCCAAGCCATATGTATAAAATTCTCACCAGCATAAGCTAACGGTAAACTCCTACCTAATTACCTAATATATTTGGACAGAGGGGGCTTCTTTTTAGTAAAATAGAGAAGAGCTAAGTGTACGCTGGAAAATCTGTATCCTTTGTCCCATCAGGGTAAGAGTCCACAATTCTCTCCACAATTCTCCTAGCCTGGAAGCTGGCATGTTCTGACCAACAGATGGCATTGTTTGCAAGGGAACCATAGGCGGGACCGGAGCATTCTGGAGAACCTGCTCCTAGGATGGGCTTGCAGTAGCTCCAAGGATATAGTGGGGTCAAGTGTGCCATCCTAAGTAAGAAAGTCTGAGAGGGCACTGCTATTGATGAAGGGGCTGGTGCCAGCCTTGGAAATGATCTGGGAGGGACAGATTCTTGATTGTTACTCAGTTTCCCTTTACATCCAATCATCAATATTTATTGAGCAGTGAGGGACACAACAGAGACCCATGAAAATACCCAATACACTGTCCATATGCAGGAGGAAATGCTCGATATTTGTGGTTTTCTTTGGATTCCCCATTCCTCATAATTCTCTCTGACATCTTTTCTCCTACCTGGATGACAAGTCACTCAAAGGTTAATTCCTTTGCCTGTCTGTGGGTATACAAGAAATTTGTAGGGCTTCTCCATGGTAATCAGATAACTCTCTCCTGGTTGGTTCAGCTCAAAACCATTAAGTTTTGGCCCAGGAAGATGCTACCTGCTTTGGCTGGAGGGGACCACCCAGGCCTGGGGTGTGGACTGAGATAGAAAGAGGAGGGGGGATTATGGTTCAGAGATCTGTTGATGACTGCTGGCTCTGCCACCGATCGGGTTGGGACAAGACAGTTGCTGGGTTTCCTCAGACCTCTAACACCACTGTGCAACTGTTCTTGGTACGATAGATAGCGGGATCAGTACTTGCTGCTTGGCTGGTAAGCACAGTCCTTTCACTTCGGCCCTGGCCCTGTCTAGTCTTTTCTCTCATCACCTAGGGTTTAGACCAGCCGTGGGCAAACTATGGCCCGTTTGAAATGAATAAAACTAAAAAACTAAAAAAAAAAAAAAAGACCGTACCCTTTTATGTAATGATGTTTACTTTGAATTTATATTAGTTCACACAAACACTCCATCCATGCTTTTGTTCCGGCCCTCCGGTCCAGTTTAAGAACCCATTGTGGCCCTCGAGTCAAAAAGTTTGCCCACGGCTGGTTTAGACAGTGCACATAAAAGGACTTTGCAAGCTGAGAAGCTTTTTACAAGATCTAATAACTATTTTGACTAGGTTCATCTTCTCTGTTCTACTAACACTACCATTTGTGGGCCCATTCTAGATGAGGGTCAAGGTCAGACTAGAGCACATTCTGAATAATACCAAGAAGAGACAGCCAGAAGCAATGTCACATGAAGGTCAGTTTTCTGATCTGTAGAGAAGAGACTTGGGAAGTATATGTATGTGGCCGTTCTGGGTGAGGAATCTGCAGAGCCAAGGAGAAATGTCCACCTGAAGCACACTCCAGGCACCCAACCTCTATACTTTCCGGTCTACACAGCCTCCAATCCGCTTTCAAGGCCTGCACATTCCTTGGAGGCAGGCTGTGCTACTGCTGTGGGTATCCCCCAAGTACAAGGGGATAAAGTCTCTATGGGGACATAGAAAAGCTCAAGTGTCTACATTCATGTCCATGAAGCTCCTACTAGGGAGGGATGGAATTAGGGGTGGGAAGTGGAAAGGAAGCATTCCCAGACTAATTCTCCCCGAACTGCTAGGGTCAGGTGCAGAATCCCAAAGAGTCAAAAGTTCTAAATCCAGACACGGTCTTCCAGGTTGTTAGGAAGAAAACAAATTTGTTAGCTTTACTTATAACTTTCAAATATTTAGACATATGGTACGTGGGTCTCCATCTATACTCTAGCTCTGCCTTGCAAAAGTTAGAGACAGGAGTGACAAAGCCTGGGGCACAGTAAGTGCTCAATAAATGTTAGAGAGATAGAAGTGAGGTGAGAAGGGCTAGCTGATGGCCCTGCCATAAGTGGGGCCACTGAGGGCTGAGATCCCAGGCACTTTCTCTGGTCTCTGACCCAAACACCACCCTCCATAGACCAACCATCCCCAACTCAATCTTTCACATGTAATTCTTTTTTGGTTCTTCCAGGCTTCCCCCTAGCTTAGAGTGGGAGCCCTAGAAAATATTGACATCCTACTCAGCAGAAGTTGCTTAACTTGATAAGCTATTTCCCCCCTGGGCTAAACTCTGCCTCACAGATTAGCTATGTAATTGAGAGCAAGGTATCTGCAGCCCCCAGAGGCCCCATGCTTAGCAATGAGCTAAGGAGAGATAAGTAGAGGGACTGTTCTTGGTGGTGGTGGTAGGAGGGGAGATAAAACAGTAGAGGGGGAGAGACTTTTGAAATGTCAGATTAGCAGGGACCTTAGTGAGCACGAAGCTTATATGTCCCCACTCTGAGGAACAGAGAATGCCACAGCCATGAGTAGTAGCACCAAGAAACCCATGGGTCCTCTGACTCTAAATCCAGGGTCCTTATATTCCATTTTTCCTTTTGGGCTGATATGAGACAAGCCCCCAGGACAATGAAGAGCTGGGAGGGGGGAGTCTAGATATGCTATGTTTAAGAAAACCAGGGTCTGGCTCCCAAGTAAGTGTCTATACCTTTACCTGCTAGAAAAACAACTGCTGCAGAAAACTGGGTCCTTAAGCTAATTAAAGCACACCAGGGACACAGTCTTTGAAATGCAATTTACAGCTCAAAAGGATAGGCTAGCTTCTTCAGGCTAATAAGAATAGAAGAAATTTGGCAAAAACAAATCATTTTCCCAGTTGAAACATTTCAGATGGAAGCTATGTTTTGAAAATCAAGAACCAAACCTAAACATGGGATGAAGTAACAGGGCGTTGTAAAGGTAGAAAGCCCTAAAAGGTACCTCCACCCCTGAACTCTAGGTAAATGAGACCCACAGAGGCCCATCCCAAGTAAGAATAGCCTCAAATTACTCACTGCTAACGATGCGTCAGAGACTTTACATACCTCATTTTATTTAATCCTCACAACAGCCCAATGAGGAGGTATTTTAAATAGGGACACGGAAGCTCAGAGAGGCAAAATAGTTGATAAACAGAGCAAAGCCAGAACTGGGACCCAGTCTGTTTAACTCCAAAAACCTATGCATAGAGATGTTTGGGGTACTTAGTCCCACGGTGAGAATGTGTCAACCTGAGCCAGTCACACCCTCTCCTTGGTCCTCACCTGTTCCCATTTTCTACTATAATGC